GCTCTCCCTGCTCTCTCTGCCGCGCTGCGCTGCGCCCAGCGTATCCGAACAGGTTAGCCCTTTTCGCGATACCTGCACCAGAACGTTCGTGCTCGAGCGCTTTCAGATATTTGCTAAATCGCAATTCGACGACTCGATCGTTCGTCCCTCGGTATCGTTGTCACGCCGCTGTTCCGCCGACGTGATAGCTCGTTGTCACAGATTGTCAGCCGGGAGGGAGATGCCGGTGAATCTGTTTTGGAATCTGTTTCGACCGTGACGATTCGTCCAGCCTCTTCGTCTTGACTCTGGTGATATTTTCCGAGTTGCTCGTCGTAACCATTCTGGCGGGTTCTGCGTGGATTTTCTAGCGCAAGGCGCCACCGCCGCTACGCCAGTTCGTTTGTCTCGAAAAACAAAGCTTGTCGTATCGTAACGCGTATCGGTCTTTTGCGAACGTCTATTAAAGAATAACAAGCACGCTGCTCGGTAAGCTGCAGCGATTTACGATTTCTACGAGCAACGATCGGAAGCGCTGGAATTTCGGGTTCAGTGCCAAAACCGCGAAAGTGCCAGGTTGTTAACGCGGAAGGGAAAGTTTCAGTGTATTTCCAGTGACGTCTTACTTTGAAAGTATTCGTAGATAAAATGGAAAACGGTCGAATAATATTTTGATATATCGTCGTACACGAACGTACACGCAGGGACGGATCCTTTCGAATCGATAGATCGAAAAATATCCGCTGAATCGTCGGTGAAATAGCGAGTATTGCGTTTCGAGCAACTCGACCGCGAATCGTGCGCCGAATGAAATTTGCTTCTTCGTTCGATGTGAAAACGCCAGTCGATTTTCGTGCGCTCTCGTCCGATACGAAGAGATTACGGCCACGGTGGTATACAATACGGTGGCATAGTGCGTTGTACGATAAATACGTTAATAATAATCAGCTATCGGTAGAAAAATAATGCCGCGGTGAAAGCGTGGAAAACGTAGAGCGTCGACAACGTGGATCGCGCGATTTCATCTTTACCAGCAACTATATTCTTTCGAAAATGTTTTCAAATATTCGTTCTACGACGTACGATCGCGGTAACAACCGCAGGAGAATAAATCGCGATACAATTTCATCAGCGATCGTGTTTAAACGTTCGCGGAAGATGGCGCGTTCGGTTTGACCTAGCACGATACATTTCTACTTTCCATCGGCTCGTATTGCGCGATTGCGAAGGAATGCAATTATCGAAAACATTGCCGAGCAATGTTGCAACCAAACATTGCGTACACGTTGGAACAACAACGGTGTACGGGCTTGGCGTACCAGTACGTGTGCAGCTTACTTCCTGTCCATCTCTCCTTTGGTATTCGCTAGATGGCCAACGGAGTAATTAAAGATGCAACGTGTGAATGAACTCTGACACGAACACACCGTTGGCATTTTAATTGCTCGACGCATCGCATCGCGTATCTTACTCTCTCCTCCTGTTTGCTTCGCCAAGCTACGTTTACCGCATTCGTGTAGTGAATCTTCCTGATCGATTCATAACTATTTACTGTCGCACCACTTGCGAATAATTCCTACGATCTGAAAATTAAATGGTTACGTGGCCTTTTGTTTGTTTCGCGGGTCCAACGTATCTTTCTACGTATTAATATGATCGATAGAAATTAAGGTAAGCGTAAGAGTAAAAGCGTTTCGCGCATTTTCTTTCGATCGTACGGTAATCATGTTCTCTGTGCATAGAGCGGAATTTGCTCGCTGAAGGAAAGACGTCGCAGCTGTTGCGACAACGCGAAATTCAACGTGAAATCCGTAATTTCTCGCGATTCTATCGAACCATTCGACGGCGAAGAGAAAAACAATAAGAGTTAAAAAGAGAGAATGGTCGGAGCGGGAGTCGGTAGACTCGTTCGGAGGAAAATATTTGTTGGCCGCTGATAGAAAGTACCGGCGCGTTTCGTCCACTCTCTCGAGGTCGTGTAGACTGTACGGCTGTTTTTTTCAAACTCGCCAGCCGGTACGGGAAAGGTGTGCCGGCAGACCGATGGTAAATTTCTGCTCAGTCGACGTTGTCTCGGTCAATAGTCAACACGTTCTACAGGAGTCCGTCGCCTCTCGTTCACTTTTTCACCGAGCTTCTTCCGACCGATCGATTCGAGTGTTGGTACAATTCGTTTTGGTTAGTTTCTTTCGCCAATTACTCGCACGCGGCATTTCACTCGATGTTCGATAGCACTTTTGTCCTCTTTGTCGTTGGTAAGTTGCTCGTTCGACTCGGTTACTCCGAATCTCGATCGTGAAACGTCGTTTAAACGGCGATCGATTATCTTCCTTCGGAATCGTGGAACGAATTTCAAACAACTGTTCATCGAATTTCATTCTCTCTATTAACGTATCCTGGCGCGGATAGATTCGACGATTCAAGGTTCGTAAATAATCCTGGACGAGTAAGTACGCGATCATAAAGCTGCTTAAAGCCTTTGTCCGAGACACAGTGTCGTTTCATGGTTTCCGCGGCGAAAGGTTCTCAAGGATCTTCAAGCGGCGTGCTCACCGTCCGTTCTAAAAAACGAAGATTTTCTGACCGCGACAGCTCGAAGCACGCGGAAAAAGGGAGAAAAAAGAAGGAAAGAGGGAAAGGGAGGGAGCAAAGAAAAAAAAAATCCCGCCGAGAAAACTCTCGCGAGGATAGTCGAGGCTTCACAGTGTTCCTTTCGAATTTTCAGATCAAAAGTAAGTGCGCGCGTGTGGTTCGTGTGTGTATACATGTGCCATCATCCGCGTGAGCGATAAGCGGGAGAGAAGAGGACTGGGGCCAACAGAAGCCGGAACCGAAAAATGGATGCGACGTCACTGCGACTCATTTCCGGACTGCTTTTGTTCGCCTACACCGCGTCACACTTTAGTAAGTCATTTTGCTTGATAAAACTACTATTTCTTCCTCTGTGTGCATGCGTCTGTCCGTCTGTGTCGCGTAGTTGAATCCTCGCGTCGCGAAACTCGTCAATTTTCGAAAAACACGTCCTTCCTTCACCGATCGCTGTACGTTGCTTCGATCGTTGTATTTCGCGTCCTTAGAATGACAGAATTATGTTTTAGAGGCTTGCAGATAAGAGGGGGAATTAATGAAAATTGGCCACCCTCTAGTTCATAAGACTCTGGCCTATTATCAGAGAAAAATTCCACGCGTACACTCGATTAATTAAAAGCGAACATAGCTTAATTCTTCGTGTCTCAAGGAATTTCTGAAGCATAGCCTAGACAAGGTACTCCTATGACAATGTTTAGATCGTACGTCTCGATTATGCTTACAAATACTATCTCCGTGGAATGTTATTATACGCATTTGTGTTTAATAATAATAATAATAATAATAATAAGGATGAAAATTTTAATTTCGTTGGTAACCGCTTTAACAGCTCGCCATTTTCCCGGTACAAATACAACCAACTAGAACGGCTGACTACGTAACACGTGTTCATACCGCAGCCACGATATTCGAAACACGAATCACGACGCGTTTGCCTCTCGCTACCCGAGCCCTGTTCGTTTCAAAAAGCATTTCGATGTTTCCAACATCCGTCGATCCAACCGTTTCTGCCAACCTTTCTCCGCCTCTGTTTCGCGTTCCCGCCGCAAATCATCGACGATTGTCGATAGAAAAACCCGTGTGAAATTGTCGTTGATCAACCGATCGCGATATGGAGGCTGGTCGATTAAAATCTCTAGGATTAAAAGAGGACTTAAAGTTAATTGTAGGAACGGGAGTAACGTTCGCTTATCGGACACTAGGATGGTTATGGTAATTTCAAAACTTTGAGCGATTTAGAAGGTAAATTGCTAAGGAAAACGAGGACGTGGCACAGCAGGACCGAGGCAATGGTGGAAAGGCGGCAGCAAATGCGTCGCCGTAATTGCATAATGGACCTGGTGTGTTCGCGTCGAGATACGAAGCCCTGGCCTGGTTTTTACTCGAGGACTTTCACTCCGCATCACTGGCTCTTCTCTCTCTCTCTCTTTCTCTCTCTCCATCCTTCCTTGTTTTCGTATTCATCTCCCTCGATACTCCTTCTCTCGTCGTGTTTCTGTTTCTCTCTTCCTTATTTTATCCCACGCGTTTCCTCGTTACTCCATTTTTCGCTCGCCATTTTTCTTCCCTCTCTGTCCGACCGTTTTTATCTTCTCTCGCTGCCATTCTCGGTTCTCTATTTAGCGACGTATTCGTTATCTTTATTCCTGCTCGTAAATGTGAATTTAATTTCGCACCTCGAATAATCGAGGTACGATAGATTCTGAAATTCCATTACATTCTATAAGAATTTTCTCATTCGCGCGAAACTTTTCTAACTTTTGTAATTTCCGTGTGCTCGCCACGAATCGCCATGAACGTCGTAAATAATAGAACCGAAGAGAAGGATCCAGGGAGGACACCCGGTATATAAGGAACAGGCGGGTCTCTCTGTTACTTGGCATTAGTCGGTTTCAAGTACGGAGTATTGTTTCTGGAGATCCCGCCGCTCAAATTGCCAGCATTTAGCGGCTTATCTGGATTATCGTTTCCCCATGCACGGCCCGAGGGAGCATTTTTCGCGGGGGTAAAAACGCGGGACGGTTCGCGCTTTTCCAAATTCACCGTGTTTTCTCTCACCGGACGATATTCTTTTTCCTTCTTCCTTCCGCCGTCTGGAAAAGGATTAAACGGAGAAGAGGATTAGAGACGTTTTCTTTTTCCTTCTTTTCCCCTCTTATTCGTTTAATTCTTTTCTTTCTCCCTCTCTATTTCCCTTCTCTTTTCTATCTCTCTCTCTCTTCAAGCTCGGTCTCTATAACGGAAATAATTTCAGCGGAGGAGGAAGCGTAAATTCAGTGAGAAAAATTACGCCAGATTTCAAGATAAACTGGAAGCTGGTTTAATGAGTCGCGTTCAACTGGTATAAAAGGCATATATATCGTTTTGCAGCCGTATATCGATTCGCACTGGGATCGTTAATTGATTACAGAGCGCGATATTTGCTCTATTTCTTTGCGTACAGGCACACACGGTTGAACGTTTAACGTTTGACCTACTTCCTACGGATAATTTGAAAGGCTTCTCACGCGTTCCAAGGTCAATCGTGCCCTCTCGACAAAATTTTACCTTGGGATTAGAATCCGATCGGATATTTATTCGTCGACGCTCTCTTGGCGGGCTCGCGCGCGTCTTACAACCGCGTTTTACACGCTAGATATTTCGCGTGCAAATTGCTTTCCACGAATAACGAAAAGCATCTTCGTAATAATATTTCGTTTGAACGTTAAGAGGCAGCCACTTGCTCTGGAAACGAAATATTTTTCTCGAATTTCTGCCTGAAAATTCTCGTTAACGACCAACTAGCTTCGCTCAAAGGCTCTGCTTGCTTTCTTTCTTCGTCATGAACTTACAAGGTGTACCATAAATATGTCGTATACTTTCGCAATGTCTAAAGCGACGATAGCTGCCGCCGTATACGTACGAAGCTTCTAGGTACGTTGCACAGGTATCGAAAATTATTTCTTCGTAACGCTGTGCGCGACGATCTTCCGCTTACGAAATTCGCTACGCGAACGTAACTCGTTACTCGTAGCACGAAAAGTCTGAGAAACATACTCGATTTGCGGGACACCTGGTACGTCGGCATACACGGAGATAGAACAGGGCGCGCTCATGTAGCTTCCAATAAAGCTCCGTTCGAGTGCTCGTTCGGTACTCGACGAATCTTGAATCGGACAATACCCTCGTGGTACGTCCATCTGAAATAACCCATAAGGTCCCTCGAGTGTAGCATCTATATAGGGAGCGGTAATGCGTCGTGGCACGGTTACGAGTATCCGCCGTACAACCAGCGGAGCAACATTTTTTACCTTCTTTGTCAGGGATTACTTCCGGGTCAGCAGCCAGGCTCGATCGTGTCCAATCCACAAGCTTACAGATTACCGGACATACTTGTCACGAGCGTGGTAACGCGATGCGTATCACGTGTAATCCATCGACTTTTCCAGCACGCTTTTACTCACATTTTTCTTCCTTCCGTTTCGTTTTTCTCGTACGGAGTTTAGTCCGCGATAAGACGAGTCGGTAGACACGCGTGCAAGCCCGAATGTCGTATAAAAAATATCGTATATTCCAGCTTCCGTATTTTTCTGTCATTACGTCCGCTAGAAATTTTGTTTTTCGTCGCGACAATGCGTTATTTCTCGACTGTGGTCGAGCCACATTCGATATATATTATTTCGACTCGCTGGAAAACGAAATTCAAACGTACTTTCGCGTATTAGGGAGAACAGGTCGGGAGATGTCCAAAGGAACGGGGTTCGGTTCGAAGCAGACGCGAAGACTCGCGGAGATGGAAATCGCGAACGAGAACAGGCATTCATCGGACGTTGCGATTGCGAGGTTACGCGTCCGTTCGTTGCAAAAGTAATCGAGCAATTTTTTCCCTTTTTTTTTCTTGCTTCCCCGCGGGATTACTTCCGGTTCAACGAGTCCCGCTCAGTCGGGTTCAATCTCCGTACTCTGTGTCAGATTACAGAGTACTCGCCGTAGTAACATCTATAGTAACACGTGTGTAGTATGTAAACTCGTGGTACGCGTGCGCGTTTACGGACCAGTCGCCCATATGCATAAAAGGCGAGTACTGCATACATGTATATCGCTGGAAAATCGGGCGCGTTCGTGTGCGTTCGATGCATATCGCAGACGCACGATCTTTATTCCTTTTCTTCGATCGAGATTGTATCGCGTCTACGATTCCGTTCCATTCGACGAGTTATTATTCCATACGAAATATTATATGCTCGTGGAATATTTTTAAACGATGCGCGATAACCAGAATGCTACGGAAGAATGATTGGTAAAGATTAAATTCGATCTGATATTTAGGGGATGAAATTTATCATTCGTTTATTTAGCATTTAAAATCGATTTCCATTACGGATACGATTGACACTTATCGATGATAAAAGACGGAATATCGATGTGTCGCGTAATCGCGATACAAGCTACGAAATAATAGAGCGATAATAAAGTAAAAAGAATAGAAATGTACTCTGCTTTCCACTCGATCGCCGGAACGAGAGTGAACCGCAGAGCGCTCTGCACCCTGAAACTTAAGTAGCTCCTACCAGAGTGCACACAGACAGGGTGGGGAGCGTCGTTTCGACGCGGCGCTCAACCACGGCGTCCCCTCCGTGATACTCGACGGTAGTATGAGGGGCGTCGTTTCAGCGCTCGCCGCTCACAATCAGACAGCCGAGTCCCCACCGTGAAGCGTACGAAAGAGCACCCCACCATCGCCACGCCACTATGGAAGTGGAATAGGTCAGCCGGACGTTCTGAATAAACCTTGTAGTTACGATTATTTCTATACATTTTGAAACTTTCGATTCTTCTGCAAGCATTTATCGATAAAGTACCCCAGTATCTACCCCTGTGGAATTATTAAAGAGCAGAGTATACGAAGTACAATATTCTGAGATAACTTTCCATATTTGTTGCTAATAAAATTCTATCGAAATTCCAACGAAAATAGTAGAACGTTAGTTATGGTTTTCTTTTCGGTATTTCTTCGAATCACGAGCTACTTGTTCTAGGCGTTGCTTCCTTATTCGTTCGTATTTACGATCTGTTCGTTTATACCGTACGTTAAAGTTCGTTTCGTTGTAATCGTCCGTGTGCAAGAAACGAATCGGTTTAGCCATGTTCGGCGTGAAAAATTTACGCAGGATGATAATTTCCTGAGTATATCGTATCAAACAAGATTCCTATAATTTTCTGGAACATCGGACGCTTTCAAATTTTCCTTGCACGCGAGCTTGACGCGCATGCATCAACGTAATCGTGCGCTTGTTCCTTCCATAGATGACACAGATGTGTCGTGGAACGCGCCC